CTCAGTGGTTAAGAGCACTGACTGCTCTTGCAGAGGACCTAGGTTCGATTCCCAGCACCCACATGGCAGCTACAAACTTTCTTTAACTCCAGTTCCAGGGGAATCCAAAGCTCTCTTCTGACCTCCACAGCATTGCATGACACGGGTGCACTCACACACATGCAGGCAATACACTCATACACATAAAATAAAAATAATAAAATTTTTTTTTAAAAAAAGGTATTTTCTTCTATGACAACTTTGTGCCACTTTCTTGAGGAAAAAGGTCTGAAGCAAGTAGAAGTACAACTGACAATCTTCATTCCTTCCTTGGTCATTTGGTGATTCATTTATTTATCCAACAGGTGTGTACCATGCAGGTCTTGGGACCATTGCTTACCTCCAGAGCGAAGCTGACCAGTGGAAATAAAAAGTGAACTAATAATGAGAGAGACAAGTGTGTAATTTTATATTTTCTAATAGCCACATTTTAAAAAAGAGAAACAGAATAAAATGGTCTTCTAGTGTATTTTATTTAAACCAATACATCTAAGAGATTTTCAGCACACAATTTCTTTTTTTGGTCTTTTTGAGACAGGGTTTCCCTGTAGCCCCAGCTGGTCTGGAACTTGTTATGTAGATCAGGCTGGCCTCAAACTCACAGAGATCCACTTGCCTCTGCCTCCCAAGTGCTGGGATTAAAGGCATGTATCACCACACCCGACACTCAATATACAATTATTAATGAGATATTTTACCTTCTTTTCCTTGTACTAAGTCTTCAGTATCTGCTGGGTACTTTATATCTATGGCCCATCTCAACTTGGACTTGGCATGTTTTGAGCGGTAAGGAATGGTATGCTGCTCATAGCTACTGTCTAATACAGCAAAGTTCTAGAAGAAACAAGTTTTGTTTTGTTTTGTGTTTATCTTTTTGAGACAGGGTCTCCTTGTAGCCCCAGATGGCCTGGATCTCACTATGTAGACCAGGCTGGCCTTGAACTCACAGAGATCCAGTTCCCTCTGCTTCCCAAGTGCTGGGATTAAAGGCATGAGCCATCACTCCCTGCTAGGTGAAACAATTTTAAGGGTCACAATTTATACTGGATACAATGAAACTCATTATATTACTTTTCTCTTATTAATCAGTATTTATTTTTCCTCTCTGTCAAATTCTGAGCAAACCACTTTCCCCAGACTTCCTGTGGTGGTTCACGAAAAGGAACACACAAGGCAGAAGAGACATGGGAGGAAGAACTACAGGAGGTGGAGGTAGAGACAGCTGCTTCACACAGAGAAGAGGATGGGAAAGGCCACCATTAAGAAAAATAGCCACAAGAGGCCTCCAAGAGGGCAAAGCCCAGAACTGCATAGGAGAAGAGCTGTTGCTTCAGAGAAGGGTTCCTGCATAATCAATGATGAGGCTCCCCAAACAGTCCAAACCCCAGCCCAAGCCAGTCACCCCAACTGTGGCAGCCCCTGCCCCAGTGAACTCGGCTACTGTGTCAATGTCCCTTAAAATGGTGCTGGTTGGGAAGCTGTAGCTAGGGACAATGAGGTCAGGGGTATGAGTTACCAAGCTGTGGCGGCTCCTATCTGTCAGTGTCTCTGGTCAGTTTAACACACTGCAGATAGTGGTTGACTCAGTAGCGGAGAGGTGCTCCTGACAAAGGAATGGATAGAGATGAACTTGGAGCAGGCATATATTTTCAAAGGTGAGAGGCCAAGGCAGGAGAGTTGCTCCCAGTGCAGAGAAGACACACACATATGTGTGTGTGTGTGTGTATTTTTCTCATAGTAGGATAATAAATTATATTATTATAATATATAATATTAATTAAATTTGATTATAAATTATATTCATATATACATGTATATAATAGTACAAATTAATGAACTAGGTGAGTGAGCTATTAACATCAATTCAGATGGATTTCAGTTTGGGGATGAAAAAGTATGTAGTAGAATACTCCTGGTTTCATTCTGTTGCTGTGATAAACACCATGACTGTCTTCTAGAAGGAAAGGGTTTATTTCAGTTTATAAGTTACAGTCCATTTTAAGAAGCCAAGGCAGGAACTCAAGGAAGGAACCTGAAGCAGAAACTATGGAGGCATGATGCTCTCTGGTTCAAGCTCAGCTGGCTTTCTCACACAGCCCAGGCCCACCTGCCTAGGGATGGTATAGCCCATGGTTTGCTGGGCCCTCACTTGAATATCAATCATCAGTTAAGACAATTCCTCACAGATATGGTCACAAGTCAAATGAAGTTTCCTCTTACTAGGTGACTCTAGGTCATGTCAAGTTAACAGTAAAAACTAACATACATGCATAGAGTATTATTCTGTTTATAAAATTTTCAAAGTAAACTTAAGGAAGATATTGTTTGGAAACACATGTATCTCAGTCCACTCATGCTGCTATAATGAAATACCTTAGACTGGGTAGTTTATAAATAATAGCAATGGGAGGACAGGGAAGGGGCACATGAGGCTGCACCCTAGCTAAGGAGCTTTTGGCAGTTAATAGTTGCTGGGGGAAAGGGGAATCATCTTTCTTTAGTAAAGTAGCCACTGGTAAGGTGCCATGATCCAGTAATAGTCCACAACTACAGTTCCAGGGGATCTAAAGCCCTCTTCTGATCTCTGTGGGCATTGAATGCATGGGTGCACTTAAATACATGCAGGCAAAATATTCATATGCATAAAATAAATACATTTAAATTTTTTTTAAAGAAGGAGTCTGGAGGGTGTGAGAATGATATGAGAGAAGGGGTGAATATAATTAAAATATCATATATACATATGAAATTGCTAACAGATGAAATATATCTTTAAAATAAATAAATAGCAAGGTATTTCTCACAATCCTAGAGGCTGGGAAGTCCAAGATCAATGGCCTGGCAGATCTGATATTTGGGGAAGCCTGGCTCTGGTCCTTCAAAGTTGTATCTTCTAGCTGGGTCTTTACACTTTAGAAGCAGACACAAAGGGCCAAGGAGGTACCCTCAAACCCTTTTTATAAGGTTAGAAATCCATCCTGAGGACAAAACCCTCACAACCCAATCACCTTCGAAAGATTCCACCTCTTAATATGGTTACACCGGGGGACTGAATTCCAACAGGGGTTCAAACCATCCTAACATGCACAACAACTAAAATATAACAGAAAGCAAGGCATGTGAGAGATAAACACAAGGCAAAGGACAAACCAAATTCAGAGATAATGAAATGAAAGGTCCACTGTGGTTTTCTCAGGTAGCGGCAATATTTTATTGTATGACATGGTGAGGGTGTGGATATTTGATAGAGTCCTCTTCTTTACCCCTTTATAAATTTCTTTTTACCTGATACTGTAGGTGGAACCCATGGTCTAGTGCATATTAGGCAGGTACTCTATAACTGAGCTACACCTCTAGCCTTTCCAAAGAATGTGAAAAAGAATGTCTTTACATTGACATGACTGTTACCATTGTTATTTGGGGAATTGTTTATTGTGACAGTTAGCATTTAATTGTCAACTTGACAGAATCTAGAATCATCTGGGAGACAGGCTTCTGGGCAAGCCTGTAAGGGATTATCTTGATTTTGTTAGTTCAGGTGGGAAGACCACCCACTATGGATGGCACCACTCCCTGGATGGAATCCTGGACTATAAAGGTATAGAAAGGGAACCGAGCAGCATCTGTGTTCCTCACTCTGTGCTTCCTGATTTGGGATGTGATGTGACCAGCTGTAGCAAGCTCCCGCAGCTAGCCATAACCTGTGAGCCAGGGTCAACCCTTTCTCCCTTAGGTTGCTTTTGTCAAAATATCTTATCACAGCAGCAGAAAAGAAATTAAGGTATTTTCCAAGCTTACTAAACTAATCATTTCAGAAAGAAAATTTTAGGAAATAAAAGAAATAGGGTAGAGAATTAGTGCATGTGAAAATGGGCAAGTCCATGGCTCCCAAGGGGTTCATGAGGCAGCACTGGACCTGGATATATTTCTTCCAGTTGTTGAGAAAGGCCTGGTGCTTTTTTTTTTTTTTTTTTTTTTAAAGTTATGGGAAGTCAAGCAAAGAAAACAGAAAATCAATAGATAGCATTTTTCTCAACCCTGACAGCAGAGAGCCACAAAGCAGGTCAAGTGGGTCATTCAAACCCCCTGTCATAAATGAGGGTGTCTGGTTGCTTAGCCCTCACTCTTCATACCAATACCCCACCATCTGGAACACAGACTCCAAGCTGATAGTCTCAGGCAATTCATTTACCTGCAACTTAGCCCTGATGAGAAAGATGAGGATTCACACTCAATGGGTATGTAACAAGGGTTACCTGCTCTATAAGGTCATTAAACATACAGACATGGAGAATCCACTGTCAAATGAGAATTCACTACTCTGCCTTGGAGCCTGTGACATTTACTGGCTATGAATTCCTTACATTGAGGTCACAGGATACAATTGCCAAAGTCTAACCTGACAATTGATATCACTGAGATGAGATGTCTATCAGGCCATACATCTGAGTCTTGCTCTGGCCTGTCACAAGACAGGAAAGAAAACTGAAAGCAGTTGTCACTTGAAAAATTTGTGTATGTATGAACTCTGAATGAGTAGAATCTGACCTTTGTCCTTCTACCTGTCGGTCACTTCATTTTTTTTTCTCTCTAAATGGTTAAATTAGTTAATATGGATATCAGGTATCCACTCTGACAGAGAGGATCAATAATATGCTAACTTATATCAAATGGAAGTATAGTTCTCTGAAACATAAAAATCAAACTAGCGGGGCTGGAGAGATGGACCAGTGGTTAAGAGCACTGGCTGCTCTTGCAGAGGACCCAGGTTCGATTCTTAGCATCCATGTGGCAGCTAACAACTGTCCATAATTCCAATTCCAGGGAATCTGACACCCTCTCCTGACCTCTTCAGGCACTGTGTGACACAGGTGCACTTACATACACACAGGCAATATGCTAATACACATAAAATAAAAGATACTAAAGAAAATATTTTTTAAATAAAAAAAAATCAAAGCTTGTTATGGCATTATTCGCCATCTTGGGGACTGTTTTAGGTCTGTAGCCCTTGTCTAATTATTCTGCATTTTCCAATGCCTGTTTTTTTAATTTTCCAGTGATTCAGTATAGCTGCTCCTGATCCAGCAGCTCATCTCTATTCCACCCTGCAAAAAGGATTAAAGGGGCAAGAAGCTGCACCCATCATTGCTGCTGGAATTTCGTCATATGTTCACATAAAGCTACAAGGAGGGGTTGGTTTAAAGCATAGAGCAGAATTCAGGTTCAACATGAAGATTGCCAGCTTCTAAGTTGGTGATTTATGCAAGGCTGTGCTATGGAGGAGAGCCAGAAGACCAGAGTACACCAGGAAGATGTTGGCAGACTGAGCAGTGACAGGAAATGACCCTCTGACTTGGACAAGAGAAGCTGTAAGTGAAAGAATTAATTACAAGAAAAGAAGCTGTGACATTTTCAGTTTTCTACTGAATCTAGACTTGCCAAATCCATTGCAAGATGAGTCCTGGGAAATCTGGAAAGTTTGCATGGGGAGGATATTGCTTATCTTTTGAGTCAGGTCAAATCCCACACTGTAAACAAAATCAACAGTTCTCACTTTGGCTGCAGAATCACCTGATACCTACAAGCGTCTCTCTCACCTGTCTCTTCCGGCGCTATGCCTCTCTCACTGAGTATCGACCACACCATACTCCTCGTATTCTAAAGGACTGACACACATTTCTGCCTGAGGACTTCGCACTACGTGGTGTGGCCCCGGCGGCCGGGTCGGTCTGAGCGGAGGCGGAGGGGCTCACCCCGGAAGTAAACTCTGCCACTCGGTCCGCCGCGCCTCAGCCTGGCGCCGGCCGGTGTCCGCGCTTGTCCTCTTCCCTCTGCTGGAGCGGGACGCGGTGCAGTTCGCACGGCTGGCGGTGCAGCGGGACCACGAAGGCCGCTTCTCCGAGGCGGTGAGGCGGTGTTTTACTGCAAGGAAGCCGCCCAAGCCTTCATTTATGCTGAGATGGCAGGATCAAGTCTAGAACGTATGTAAGAAAAAAAAAATCAATGAGTGTCTGGAGAGAGTTCAAGCTGTGCGTTCCGCAGAGCAGAAACATTGAGTGAGCCTTTGACAGAGCCATTTTACAGTCGGGTCAACAAACATTAAAATGAAGACCCCTCCTGTGAGAACACATTTCCCTCTAGGACCTAGTCCCTTCCTTGAGAAGCATTTGTAAGTCCACAGTCACGTGATGCGCAAGGACAGAGATACACAGCAGAAGAAATAGAAGTGCTCAGGACAACATGAAAAATAAATGGTATAAAATATGTTCCTTTCATGAGTGTTGGTCTGAGGGAACGTTTTGCTTATCCAATGCCTTTTTGCTATAGATGGGACAAGCTGCCGTTATCACCTAAACAAAAAAATAGGTTTTCCAAATGGATATGGCCAGAAGACCTCACCAACAATCCTACAATGATTTACACTGTGTCCAGTTTTAGTACAAAGCAGACAATAGTATCAGATTGTTCCTTTGTGGCATCACTGGCTATCAGTGCAGCTTATGAAAGATGATTCAATAAGAAGTTGATCACCAGGACCCAGACTGGGACTCATTCTGTTCAACCCAGGTCACTGGGGCTGGGCCTGGTCTGCCTGGCCTTTACCACCATTGTCAAGCCACAACCCTCTGGCCACCAGAGGCCATCCTCAGTGAGCATCAGCACAGCTCTGATCCTGGAAGAAGCCACAGGTGCCCTTCTCAGTCCTCCTAGACACCAGCATCACCTGCCTCCCACAACACTGGGAAAGGGGTGCTCTGACCACACACCCAGGGATCAAGTCAAGTTCACTTCCTTCCTGGAGAGATAGGTGGGGGAGGAAGGGCTTTTTCCCCCTGCAGTATGTGTTCTGTGAAGTTTGATAAATGTAAAGGAAGCTTAAATTCTTGTGTCCTTAAAGAGAAAAATCCTATTTAAACCTTCTGTGTTCTCGACTGACTTACACATGTTCTCAACTGACTTACACACAAAGCCTATAGGTCAGTTTTAGTTTTAACATTGTGAATATATTAAAAAAAAACTCATAACTTTCATTCCTTTTTCTCCTGCTAAAAAAAATTAAAAGAGGTCAGTTTTAGTTTTAACATTGTGAAGATATCAAAAGAATCTTGTAACTTTCCTTCCTTTTTCTCCTGCTGAAAAAAAATTAAACGAAATATCCCCCCCCCTCAAAAAACAACCAAACAAAAAGATTGTTCTTCCCCAAGTGTGTGTGAACTGGCTGCCTCCTTCCTTCAAGTCTCTGCTTAAATGCCACTTATTTCAAGAGCTGAACCCTGACCCATTCATCTACACTTGTGCTACCCACAGTGGGGTGAACAGACTAGAAAGCTGATGTCACTACAACACCCGAGGGTGTGGACCAGTTCCCTCGTATACACTAATTGCTGTGGCTTGGTGTGGTTTGTTCCCTCAGGGTTCATGTGCTGGAAGTGCAGATCCTACCCTCTAAGCCAAGTTGTCACCTTGGCTACAAAGCCAATGCAATGTGGTATTGTGGGAGGTGATGGAGTCCTGAAGAGGTGGGATCTAATGGGACATCATTAGGTTATTGGGAGCACTGCCCTGGAAGAAATTAATGTAGTTCTCAGAAGCCTTGGTTCATAAGAGAAGGCTGTTAAAAAGTCAGACTGGCTCCTTCCTGTCTCCAGCTTTCTGACTCTGTCTGGGAATCCTCTTATATCATGATGCTATGCACCAAGAGGTCCTCACCAGACTCCAAACAAATGGAGCAATCTGATCTTGTACTTTCAGTGTCCAAAACTGTGAGCTAAGAAGATGTTTAGCACACTCACTTTACTCAGGTGCACAACACCTGATATTGTCATTTGAGTTTTGTAGCTGCAATTGATGGCAGGATGCTAAAACGGTGATGTGTTGTTTATAGTGAAGTTCTGGCTAATTAAACAATGAAACCAAAATCAAATACCATTTAAATAAAATGCATGAAAAGTTTAAAACAGAAGTGACAATTTCGGGGAAAGAGCAATGCGTTGAAAAGCTGATGCAAGCAGCTGACCATTATTTCATTTACAAACAAGAGCAGTTTGCGGGCAGCTTATGAAGCAGCACTTCAGGTACCTGAGACGAGACCAAAGAATGCAGTTGTTCAGACACTCCAAGATGTGTCAAAGGTGCTTGTTTGGAAATGGGTGAGTCTCAGGCACTGAAGGTAGTCCAGGTACCATTTTTCTCTTTGATACATAGCTCAGTGTACTCAGAATTGACTAATTTGTGTAGAAGCTGACCACCTGAACAAACATAGCTAGTGTGTTCATTCCAAATTGACCTCTGTACAGACATTGCCAATGGCCATTTTAAAGATATGTGTGTATATGATTTCATGATGCTATTAAAGAATTCTTTCTTCCAATTTCATTTAGACACATATATGAACTATATGAAACTAAAGATTACATTGTAATTCATTTTGAAATATTAAAATGTATTTGTTACAATGCTGAGGATAAAAATCCAAGGCCTTGTGCATGCTAGGCAAATATTTTTCTATTGAGTTACATACCAATCTCTTAATTTTCAAGACATGATCTCACTGTGTATCCCTGACTGGCCTCAAATTTGTGATCCTCCTGCCTCAGTCCTCCCCACAACCCCCCAAATGCTGAGAATACAGGCATGAGCCACTGCACCTGGCTGTGTGGTTTGACATTTAAGCTTTATGTTGGAGTGAGTTCTGATGGTGTTCCTGCATGGATTAAAGGTTTGGCACCAGAGTATAAATTGACATAATGCTTCTTTTGTTTATAGTCTTACTATATGCATGCATAGTATGTTTAGAGACATAGCAAAAATTATAAGTTAAGTAAAAGCTAATGTGTTAACCTCAAGACTGTTGCCTCTATGAGTTAATATGAATAATAAGAAACAAACTGTGCTTCTGAAAGATTAAAAATGAGTGTGTTTTAATTGTTCTCAATGTCTCCATTTCTTTTTTTCCTCATAGTTGGATTTTTTTGTTTGTTTTTTTGTCTTTTTTGAGACAGGGTCTCCTTGTAGCCGTGGTTTTTAGTGTCACTCCCCCGCCCCACACAGGACTCCTATATTAAACTTCACTCACTCAGGACTCAGGGACCATTGCAGAAGAGGGGGAGGAAAGATTGTAAGAGCCAGAGAGGACGTACATGACCATATGGAAACAGAGTCCTACAAGCTCCTGGGACCCTGCTCATATGAACCTACAGCAACGGTGTCGATATGCGCAAGACCCATGAAAATTCAATTAGTCAAAAACCCAGCATAGAACTGGGGAAATGGACAGCAGACCCCAATCTTAGCTGAGAAAATATTGACAACTGATTACTGCTGGGTGAGAAAGAGCTGATCTTCCTAAAGTGAAGGACTAGACCTTGGTAGATGAACTTGTACTGAGGAAGTCTGGGGACACTAACTTGACACAATAGGCCTTAAGACAAATGACAGAATGTATGAATTCCAGTGGAGGATGTGCTATGGGAGGGTCCCAGTGGGGACAGGGTATAAGGATGATTAAGATTGATTGAGATGTTCTGTATGAAATATACAAAAAATTCAATTAAAAAATAATCTCACTTTTTAAATATTTTATTTATTATTTTTATTTTATGTGTATGCGTGTATTGCCTGTCTGTAGGTAAGTGCACCCATGCCATGCAAAGCCCACGGAGGACAGAAGAGGCTGTCAGATCCCCTGGAACTGGAGTTATGGACAGTTGTTAGCTGCCATATGGGTACTGGGATTTGAACCCAGGTCTTTTGCAAGAACAACCAGTGTTCTTAACTGCTGAGCCATCTCTCTAGCCCCTAATCTCACTTTTTAAAGGTATGGGACATAAACAGGTTGGAAAGAAGAAAAATTGTACTTTTACCTCAGGGCATTTACCAGGGTCAGCCTAAGGTCCCTTTGCTCAATTTGAAACTGAAATCACAAAAAAGTAAGCCACTCTATCTGAACAAGGTTTTATTGTGGCTATGTGCAAACATGAGAGAGACAGCACACAGGGTTCCTGGAATGGCTCCTGGAGGACTCGGGGCACCCCCAGCTCACACTCAGTCATTGCACATGCTCCCAGGAATTTACGTAAATTGTGTCAGGCTTTTGTTCTCAGTATTAGGTCTTGCACTGGATTCTGAACTCTGCTCCAGTGCACTGAATCAGCCTGCAGGTTGAGGTGCTCTCTATTGTTACCCCAGGAAGGTATATTGTGCCTGTGTCAGTAGCTCCTGCACCTGTTCATAGGTAGGAACAATTTTTGAAACCTTGTGGAGGGAATCAAAGCCCTAAAGCCCTCCTGTTCACTTGATCCCGATGAGCAGAAAGCTGAGATCTATGGATAACTCTCTACCCTCACCTGCAGTGTTTGACTTGTCTCCATAGCTCCCAACCTTGTGTTCCTGTAGCTATTTGATCATTTGCTTCTGAATTCTCTGACTGCAGTGTGACTCAGTGAGGATAGGGACTTCCTGAATCACAATCGAACCTCCAGATCTTCCGTATTTACTAACATTTGGATATGGTCTTGTATTTGTTTTTGTGGAGGAAGAACTCACTTCCCAGGTATGACAAATGAGGTGAACCATCTGGTCAACTACAGGACTCTCCAGCATCCAAACGAAGTCTCCTCATTCAGTATTAGACTCCTGTTCTCAAATATTTTTCATTAATTTGCACTGTTGGTATAGGTTTGTGATCACAGCATGTATCCTGATTTTGTTTGACTCCCAGAAATTCTGGTAAGAGAAACCATTCCACCCCAAATTCTGCATGACATTAACAATTGATTGACTGATCCATACACTGCTATTTAAGAATCTGGAAATGTATGCATTTTAGACACAGTTTCATGCAGATGGTACCAGCTAGTTTATTTTTGCCACAAGTCCTAAATTTCAGTGATCTAGAAAACTAAGCAATTTAAAATTGTTCATGTTTTCATGATATATTATTCAACTAAGCAGGTCACAACATGTCTCCAGTGT